TAGGTGTGTTCAAAATTGAAACGATCCGACGGACCAAAGGGTGACGAAAGTCGTACTACTTTAGAGCATGTAAGCTCCTTACGTCTTCGAAGAAGCCGTTGGTTGCGCGTGTGTATCTGTGTAACAAGATCAAGCACAAGGTAGACGGAAGGGAGCTGTCATGTTACGATATCTGGCACACAAGCTGGCAGAACGGGACCAACATACCTCTATCAGTGAAGAATAACCAGATTCGCGCGCGCACTCCAGGAAGCTCGACAGGCGCTGGTGTTAGCGCAGACGGGAGTGACGTAGACCGGCAGCACGAGAAGCGTCAGCGTGTAGAGACGACTAGGTGATATATAGTAAGTCATATGTTGATATATCTTTGTTTTGGTCTGGTAAATTATGTCCAGTTTGCAGGTGTCATGTCCTTGGACAGCTATTGCTATGTTCTGAGGATTGATTGTGCGTTTGCTTTTTGCACGGCAACGCACACGACCAAAGTGTTATCTTGTAGTGCCCTTCGGTATTATACACGATACCACATTTTCACCATCTCAGGGGTTGGTTTACGGTGAGTCTATCCATATACGGGATATATATAAATGCTATATGAACTAATGCAACCCTTTCCTCAATATACAAGATAAGGAAGATAGAGTTTCGGAAATGCGTGCGCTGAAAATCTCTCGCGCTCAAGGGGTTAAAATCACTACCAGGAAGGCATGTTTATCAAACTTTAATCGTCTATCTGAGTGGCTTTCTCTTCACTATCCGGATTGTGTCTCCAAAGAAGACAGAAGGATCAAGATTAAGTTATTTCTCGAAATATCCGTGGTTCTTTGGATCTGACTGTTTCGTAGCAGCAGGGCTGGATAAAATGAATTCGAATACAGTCACACCTCCCTAACTGACGGCGGTTTGGGGTCTGAAAATCGGCCGTATCAGTTATAGAATCCGTCACTTAAGGAAATGGCTACATTTATTCTGCTTGTTGGAAGAAACTGTGTAGTGATGTCTGTCGCCTTCGTTGTACGACTTGAGATCTTGTGAGTTTTGTCAACGTCTGCACCATATCCTGCTCCC